TTAGTTATATTTAACAATGTCATTTTTTATTCTTAAAAGTAGGGTTGTCCTTGTTCGAGAGCATCCACGCCACTGCTTAATTAATACTTGTTATTAATACACTTGTAAGAAATAATTTTTGTAAAAATATTATAATACTAAATTGTACCTCAATCTAAATTTGTATATCTTACGTAGCTTTACTTTTGTTCCAATTCTAACTAACCTAAAATGAAAAAGGAGATCAATTAATAAAAGGTTGGAAGTATAACAACCCTCATTAGTAAGTTAAGGGAAAGGAATTAATTAGGTGGTTAACTAGATTAAATACTTATTCAATGAAATTGTGAGAGTTAAATTAATAGATTCAGGTGATAAATAATAAGAGAATACAAGTCTAATAGGATTCAAATATAATTATTATATATAACTAAGAACATAAATATTTATATGGAGTAAGTTTGTGTTTACCTTGGTAATTAGGCCTAAATATAAATTAGGTTGAATAATTAATTAGTTTAGAGAAATTAGTAAGTTCAAAGTATCTTTAAATTATTTAAATGATGCTTGGATTAATTATTAAAATTAAGGAAAAGATGGATTAATTATTAAGCAATAAGATGAGTTTTGATTAGTAAAAAGTCAAACAATATTCTTAGTCTTAATTATTTAAGTTGCAATGTTGTGTCTTCTTTAAATTGTCATGTACGTAACTTTAGTAAAAAAGATGAGGAAATTTGATAGAATTGAACCAATAAATATTTAAGATGATACTTGATTAGTCAAATGAAGAATTAAAGAACCAATATTATTTAATGTTGACAAATCTATATTTGGTGGAATTGAGTACTTTATCACCAAGTTTCATTAAAAGTCATTCACCAAATTGTTGTACGCTGCTTCGTGAAGTTTTTATGCTTTCTTTTCTTTCTTGTCACTTATGTGGGCCGTAGAGTTTAGGAAGAAAGCAACAAGCAAATAGTTTGGTTGTTTAAACCAATGAGAAAGTGACATGTTAGTCAAAAAAAATAAATAAATAAACTAATACTACTTGACTTCAATTAGGCGGTCCCTTTTCCTTCGTTCTTTTTTTTTCACGCTGCACTCCCCCTTCTTTCTTCTTCCTTAGTTTGTGACCTTCAATGGAGAAAGGGCAAGAGAGAACTTGATGAGTTAGTCACCACTTCATCTAGACTGCAACATAGAAAAGGTAGCTTAGCACCCTATTATCCTAACCCACCATTTTTCTAACTTTGGGAAGCTTTAAATCTCTTCTTTTCTCCTCTATACAGCAGCGCCTGCACTTGGAAAAGGGGGAGGAAATGGATTGATTTCATAGTTCTAAGCTTAGGTAAGTCATCACTAGTTCTTGGTTAGGTTATCTAAGGTATTAAACCTTCACTTCCTTGATTAAATTCTTAGAAATGATGATGATATTACATGATATAGGGCTGTTTATGATGTGTTTTACATTAATTATTTGATGAGTTTTATGTATGGTTGTTGGTTGTTTAAAGATTTGATGTCAAACTAAACATAGGAAAGCTTTAAATTAACAAATGAAATTGTTGTGAGTACAAGGAACCAATTGGCCATGGCATGAAAATTTATGTAAACCAAGTGTTTGTTAAAATGTCTAGGTGAAGCTATGATTTTAATTGATCAAATAAGGATTGGTTTAATAAATATTGAGTGAAAGTTAAAAGATACCCTTGGAACTCTAGTGTAAGCAACACAACCACACACTTTATGATTAGTGAGGATTGTTATATTAATTATGAAAGTTGATATAAAGGATGATATGAACATATATGGTTGATGAACAAAGTAAGCTATAATGTGTTTAAGTGGTGCCAACCATGTGTTTGTTAGATTGTCTAAAAGAAATATTGATTTCAAGTGGTTGTTTGATGGTTGCTTTAATTAAATTAAGTGGAAATTGTGAAGGAAAGTTTATAGAATTATATATGGGCCAATTCGGCCAAGTGAGGTAAGATACACAAGACATGTTTTGATTTTGTTCTTATGTGAGTGGGTGACAAAAATATATATTAGAAGGTTACTTAGCATGAAACAAGTTGGTATTAATGTAGTGAAGTTGATAGAATTCTCAATATGTCTTATAGTTACTATTCGGGTATGGTAGTTTAAATAGGTACATGATGTGTTTGATTAATTTTGCATATGAATTCATGTTCAATGATTTGGTTAAAGATTGATGAGAATAAAGAATAAAGAGTAGAGGTGGTGAGAAGATCCTTAAAAATCCATAAGTACCAATCGGCTATTTCATGAAAGTGGATGGAATTATTTTGTCATTAAGCTAAATGGTGTCGGAGATTCCTTGAATATGATGTAATTGATTGAAAGCTTGAAAGAAAATTATGGAATCATTAAATAGGCCAATCAGCCATACAGTGCAAAGAATGATTATTGATCATATATGTATACTTAAAGAATACTTGTTTTATAATATAAAAGTTGATGAATTGTGGTGGAACTTACATGGACACATTTCGGTTATACATGTATTTAGGCCAAGAAATGGTGTTAATTAATATTATGAGTGTGTGATGTTCCTCGCAATTGTTAGTAACATGAAGTATGAATTAACTAAGATAAAATGGTAAGTCCATGGGTATGTAACTATTCGACCAGTATGTATTACATGACTAAAGAAATTGATGTTAGTTTTATGTCAAGTTAATGGAATTATAGTCTACGAATGCTTTCACAAGAGTTAAGCTAAGTAAACATGATGAAATTATATATGTATGAGTTCGGTTAGTATGAGAAGTGAATTAGAATGAGATTAGATGAATTGTAATAAATAAGGAATATGGATAGGATCTTATAAATCACTAAGTTAATGATCGAATGTAACCTACAGAATGTTGTTTACGTGTATTACAAGTAATGTAATTAACTGTCATTAACGATACATTATAATGGTACCAGTGAAAACCAAGGGGTGTGAATCCAAGGGATTCGAATCAAGTGAGGCGGACTATGCGTGGATAGCTAATTGCACAAACTTCTTGGATAACAAGTTGTAGAGACGGAAAGCGTTCAGGTAAGCTTTCGGTTTAGGAGTCTTCTCTGTCTTTAATTGTTCCGCCATGATCAGTGGCGATTATGGTTTTCGTATGGATATAATTGTTGTTAATGTTGATACTTTGCGTAGTTGCATTCATATAGTGCATGCATATGACATTATTTATGTTATGACAAGTTAATATGATATGATCTTCAATGAGATAAAGCCTTGGAAGCATAAGTTATGGTTTTCTGAACAGAGGAAACATTTATGGATATGATCACGGTGTATATAAGGTATAGCCGAGGAAACTTTAGTTCTCTGATCATTATGAGTATGCTATTGAATATGATACGATATTACGAATATAAGATGAAAGCCTTATTTATACATAAGACATGAACGTAATTAAGATTAATAAGAAAGCACGTTATAAGAATAAATGAGAATTATCAGAAAATATATATGATACGGAAATTCTAATATGGATTATATGGTGTTATCTATGTCTTGGTACTTGACATTTTCTGGCAGGAAGTGGACTCTTGGGTGGAGACTGCTCCATAAACCCCAAGTTTATTGAGATTCATTCTCACCCCGCGTTATGGGGACATATTTCAGGTATCGCAGCAGTTGACGATGGTTCTCGGGGCAAGAGGCCCGTGGTTGAGGAGTAGATCTGAGCATGGATGTTGCCTACTTATTTTGGGAGTCTGTTGTATTTATATTTACACTATGATGTATTATGTTTATGTAGGTTGATGTAGGATGTTGTAGTTATGACACATAGCCACCTTTTAATGTGATATATATGGAGTTATGGATCATGCATGTATATTACTGTATATGATATGGAATTGTTGTATATTGTGGGTTGTAAGAGTCCCAAGGCATTGTTGGTCCTTGTGTGTGCCACCCACTGATTATTAGGTACCATTTGAGGTCATATACCACTTGTACAAATTTGAGAAATGTTGGAAAAACAAAGGAAACTCTGGCGAATTTTCTGTAGAATTGGCAGATTTTAGACGAACTTCAGGAGAGCATATCTCCCTCCACAGAGGTCCGATAGGGACATTCCATACACCATTTTGAAGCTTGGGGTGTCTCCTACATGGTGGTAAAATATGAGGTTGTTCTGAACTAGGCGCTGGACTTGGGAGGGCTGTGAACACAGCTTCCCTATTTTCCCTGCACTTGGGGGCTGTTCTGGCCGGTTTTTGAGGAATTGTTTCCCGCTTCGTTTCTCAGTAAAATTAAGCGTATGATATATCAAATTGAAGGTTGAGGTGTCTAGTTTGTAGCATAAAATTTTGATAATAATTGGATGAGTGGATTTTCTGCAGAAATTCGTGGAGTGAGAGAGGTTTTGAGCTGTTTTGGGGTTGGTTGGTTGTTTTGCTTATCCAACTTCAAACGGCGATAACTGGAGCAAACGAGCTCCAATTAAAGCGTGTAATAGCTTTTTAGAAAGGGAATTAAGTAAGAAAAAAATATAATTCGAGAGGAAAGTCTGGTTTTAAGCGGTGTGTTCGCAGAAAAATATTTAGTGAACCATGTTCGAAAAGGTAAAAACATAAAGTTGAGAAATTGGCTAAGTGGGTTTATGGGAACCCCTTAGTGACTTATAATATATAAAGTAAGATGTAAAAATAGTTAAAATAAGTATTCCGCAAGAGTTTACAGTTACGGTCACAACTTTTAATTATTACGCTTTTTATTGTTTTAAATGCTCGCGTAATAATTCGAAAAAGTTTATTTGCATTTTTATAAATGAACTGCTATGATTGTAACTGCGCTTAATATCATAAATAAATGTTAACAATACCGGTGTACAACGGGCTGTTACAGGAAGTAGTAATACCTCAAGATAAATTTGCATTTCTTTACCTGTAATTTTGACTGTGCTTTTGCAGCCAATGGTTAACCTGGTCTTGTAATATTTTGTCTATATCTTCATCATATCGCTTTATCATGTTTGCAGGCATATCTTCGAGTTTCATTTAATTTTTCAGCTCATTTTTATTTGCCTTGTTATATATGTCAATACATGTTTTGAATCCATCGCCGTCACGAACCAAATCGCATAAAATATGTATTCTCAGAAAATAAATAAATATAGATTAATATTATTTTCACATAATAGTAAATTAGACCAACTCATAATGCTCAATTATTTAATCAAATGAAATACATTCCCGGAAGCGTGCATATTTGAAACTTCATAGCGTTATATTCCTGAAAAATGTAACATTACAGTAAAAACCACCATAATTTTATTTTTCATTGCAATTATTTAAATTAATAACAAGGACAAGATATGCCTCATTTGTTGTAACAACATATGCGTCTTCACGTGTACCTTCGAGTTCAGATTCTCCTATATAGTGAAATTACAATCTTATGCTTGCGAAAATTATTAGAAATAATGAAAAGAAGCCATGTGATGAAGGGTTACATATAAATAACATAACTTCTCAGACCATAGGATAAAGGGTTACACAGAAATCATGTGTAAGATATTTCCCTTTACATGTCGTCATGCATAAGATATTTCCATTTCTTTGTCGTCATGCAACAATGAATTATATTCTAAATCCATCATTCATCGTCATGCAACAACGAATTATATTCAAAATCCATCATTCAATAATAACTCTCCTTCCTTGGCGTCATGCGTTAGATATTCCCATAAAAATGATACAATCCGAAAAATTTACACCTTTTTTGTAACATACCTTACCATACACAAAGGCGTTGAGGGATGTGAAGGGAAATCTTACTTTGAAACAAAAAATTATGATACCAATCAGTTCAAGACACTCCAAAACACATGAAATAGATAAAAGTTAGACGTGCTTACCTTTGAAAAATCTTCCCTTTCAACATACCAAAAATAATAGAATACGTGTCCTCCACGCAATATTCTTTCCTAATAAATGAAAGAGAGCATAGACAAAGTAAATGATAGATATTCTAATATATTAAAATTCTAACTGATCCTCTAACCTACTCACTAACAAAACAAAAAGTGGAGTGCATCTAGACGCACATCTACATTTAATACAATTATTGACAATATATGTTATTCCTTAAAGATATTAAATTTTTTGAGAAATTACAAATATTAAATACGAAGAAGAAAACTAATTTAAAATATAAAATTATACCTGAACACAACAGGTCTCTGTCTCACAAATTCTGTAGACATCTCCTACTACACGTCCATTTATGTCTCTACCTTTTACTTCTACGCGTAGGCTCTTTTCTTTAATTATATTTAACAATGTCATTTTTTATTCTTGAAAGTAGGGTTGTCCTTGTTCGGGAACATCCATGCCTCTGCTTAATTAATACTTGTTATTAATACACTTGTTAGAAATAATTTTTATAAAAATATTATAATACTAAATTTTACCTCAATCTAAATTTGTATATATTACATAGCTTTACTTTGGTTCCAATTCTAACTAACCTAAAATGAAAAAAGGAGATCAATTAATAAAAGGTTGGAAGTAATAATACCTCAAGATAAATTTGCATCTCTTTACCTGTAATTTTGACTGTGCTTTTGCAGCCAATGGTTAACCTGGTCTTGTAATATTTTGTCCATATCTTCATCATATCCCTTTATCATGTTTGCAGGCATATCTTCTAGTTTCATTTAATTTTTCAGCTCATTTTTATTTGCCTTGTTATATATGTCAATACATGCTTTGAATCCATCGCCGTCAGGCACCAAATCCCATAAAATATGTATTCTCAGAAAATAAATAAATATAGATTAATATTATTTTCACATAATAGTAAATTAGACCAACTCATAATGCACAATTATTTAATCAAATGAAATACATTCCCGGAAGCGTACATATTTGAAACTTCATAGCGTTATATTCCTGAAAAATGTAACATTACAGTCAAAACCACCATAATTTTATTTTTCATTGCAATTATTTAAATTAATAACAAGGACAAGATATGCCTCATTTGTTGTAACAACATATGCGTCTTCACGTGTACCTTGAGTTCAGATTCTCCTATATAGTGAAATTACAATCTTATGCTTGCGAAAATTATTAGAAATAATGAAAAGAAGCCATGGGATGAAGGGTTACATATAAATAACATAACTTCTCAGACCATAGGATAAAGGGTTACACAGAAATCATGTGTAAGATATTTCCCTTTACATGTCGTCATGCATAAGATATTTCCATTTCTTTGTCGTCATGCAACAATGAATTATATTCTAAATCCATCATTCATCGTCATGCAACAACGAATTATATTCAAAATCCATCATTCAATAATAACTCTCCTTCCTTGGCGTCATGCGTTAGATATTCCCATAAAAATGATACAAACCGAAAAATTTACACCTTTTTTGTAACATACCTTACCATACACAAAGGCGTTGAGGGATGTGAAGGGAAATCTTACTTTGAAACAAAAAATTATGATACCAATCAGTTCAAGACACTCCACAACACATGAAATAGATAAAAGTTAGACGTGCTTACCTTTGAAAAATCTTCCCTTTCAACATACCAAAAATAATAGAATACGTGTCCTCCACGCAATATTCTTTTCTAATAAATGAAAGAGAGAATAGACAAAGTAAATGATAGATATTCTAATATATTAAATTTCTAATTGATCCTCAAACCTACTCACTAACAAAACAAAAAGTGGAGTGCATCTAGACGCACATCTACATTTAATACAATTATTGACAATATATGTTATTCATTAAAGATATTAAATTTTTTGAGAAATTACAAATATTAAATACGAAGAAGAAAACTAATTTAAAATATAAAATTATACCTAAACACAACATGTCTCTGTCTCACCAATTGTGTAGAAGTCTCCTACTACACGTCTATTTATGTCTCTCCCTTTTTCTTCTACGCGTAAGCTCTTTTCTTTAGTTATATTTAACAATGTCATTTTTTATTCTTAAAGTAGGGTTGTCCTTGTTCGAGAGCATCCACGCCACTGCTTAATTAATACTTGTTATTAATACACTTGTTAGA